ATTATAGGTACACGTTCCGTTGTTCCATTATGTGCAATTCCTACTACAGTCTGGCTCTTTGTGTTAACTGATTATTTGTCACTTTTATTGTTTATTAGCACAACCTCTTCCATTCCAGTTATTTACAGTATTCCGAGTTTTGCTGGTTTGGGTTTTCGCTAATGGTTCTTTGTCCCCTGCATTTTGGTCCCCTCCCCCTGTTTCCTGTTACTGCGTTATGCTCTGCCTTCTTTCCTAGGGTCAGTGCCCTTGCCGCATGCTTACGTTTCCTATCTCCGCAGTATGGAGAAGCTGGATCAACCCACGACGATGAACTACCAACCTCTGCTACCCCTACCCCTCTGAAAGTGTGAACTCCAACATCCCGCGGGAGTCGACGACGGTGAACTACCAATCCTTCAATGACGCAGTGGCATTGGTGGTCAGCCGCTGGCCGGAGGTGCACGTGGCGAAGTGTGACATAGCTGAGGAGTTTCGGATTGTCCCGGTCTATCCGAGCGACTACCACCTCCTAGGTTTCTTATATGCAGGGCGATATTACTACGAGAAGATGCTCAGTATGGGGGCTGCCCATCCCCCCACAGGATCTTCGAGACGTTCTCCAGTGCCCTGCAATGGATCCACGCGGAGAAGTTCGGCGTGTGTGACGTGGTGAAGGTGTTGGGCGACTTCCTCTTCGCGAGCTCTACCTACACCGAATGCCTGCAGAGCCTGCGGGTGTTCACCACCCACTGCGAGCGCCTGGGTGTTCCCTTGGCCCCTCACAAGACTGAGGGCCCAAGCACCTGCCTCACTTTCCTTGGACTGGAAATTGATACGCGCCGGATGGAAACCAGACTCCCGGAGGACAATAGGACGAGACACGCGGCCGACGTGGAAGCTGCGCTGGGGGTTGAGAGCCTCCCACTGCGGGACCTGCAGGGGGCTCATCGGAAAACTTCAATTCGCGGCGATCTACGCGGAGAAAGGACGACACACGCTCCACCAGGACCAGATATCATTCACGGAGACGGGAATTGACATCGCTTTCACCTCCTACAAGCACAGTGCGGGCCGCACGCTGACCTCAGTCTTGAGTGCGGACCCCTCCGGCAGGTACTGCCTGGACCGCGCTCTATTGAAGTACATTAGACGGCGGGGCATGGACCCAGGGCCCATATTCCAGGACGAGTCAGGCGCGCGCGCTCCAGTCACCAGACAAGACTTCTTCAGGGTGTTCGGCGCCGCCATCACAGCGTTGGGCCTGCCCCCAGCCGATCACGCCCCACACTCCTTTCGAATCGGCAGGGCCACCCAGATGTCAACGGACGGACTCGCGCAGGCGGCGATCATGGCGGTCGGCAGATGGAAGAGCGACGCGTGCACCTCCTACATCAGGCAGGACATCTTTCCACTCTCTCGCTGAAGGTTCCTTCTGCGGCCAGCAGGCACCTCGCCCTCCGGGGGTGGGGGTAGGGGGTCCGGCTTCGCTGGCCTACGGAGTGTGGGTGCTTCGCCGGATCCCTAAGTGTATCGCTGTCCCGCAGTAGTTCACTTTTCTACAAGGGAACCCTTGTACTATTTCAATTTAGTTATTGCTGCAGATTTTACATGCAATCTAGGTACTAGTAAGCTCTACCATTAAACCGGGAAACCCTACCTTGAGGTTACCTTGAGGTGCTTCCGGGGCTTAGCGTCCCCGCGGCCCGGTCGTCGACCAGGCCTCCTGGTTGCTGGACTGATCAACCAGGCTGTTGGACGCGGCTGCTCGCAGCCTGACGTATGAGTCACAGCCTGGTTGATCAGGTATCCTTTGGAGGTGCTTATCCAGTTCTCTCTTGAACACTGTGAGGGGTCGGCCAGTTATGCCCCTTATGTGTAGCGGAAGCGTGTTGAACAGTCTCGGACCTCTGATGTTGATAGAGTTCTCTCTCAGAGTACCTGTTGCACCTCCGCTTTTCAACGGGGGTATTCTGCACATCCTGCCATGTCTTCTGGTCTCATGTGATGTTATTTCTGTGTGCAGGTTTGGGACCAGCCCCTCTAACATTTTCCACGTGTAAATTATTATATCTCTCTCCCGCCTGCGCTCAAGGGAGTACAGATTTAGGCTCTTTAGTCGGTCCCAATAGTTTAGGTGTTTTACTGAGTGAATTCTAGCAGTATAGGATCTCTGCACGCTCTCCAGGTCGGCAATTTCTCCAGCTTTGAAAGGGGCTGTCATTGTGCAGCAGTACTCCACTCTAGAGAGCACAAGCGTTTTGAAAAGTATCATCATCGGTATAACATCTCTAGTGTGAAAAGTTCTTGTTATCCAACCTGTCATTTTTCTTGCAGTTGTGACGGCTACTTTATTGTGTTCTTTAAAGGTAAGATCTTCCGACATGAGTACACCCAGATCCTTTACATTGCCTTTTCGTTCTATTTCATGATTTGCCTGAGTTTTGTACGTGGTTTCCGTTTTTATATTTTCATTTTTTCCATAGCGCATGAGCTGGAACTTATCTTCGTTAAACACCATATTATTTTCTGTAGCCCATAGAAAGACCTAATCTACATCTGACTGGAGGTTTGCCGTGTCCTCTATGTTGCCTACTCTCATGAAGATCCTAGTGTCATCTGCAAAGGATGATACAGTGCTATAGGTTGTGTTCTTGTCTATGTCCGATATGAGGATGATAAATGATATATTTCCTTTTCTCCTTGGCGGCTAGGCCTGATGGTTTGTGTTAATTTCCTCCTATTTAACAACAGACATTTCCCAGTCTCTATGTACCATTCGCCTGCACTTAGTATTTACTGTATTAACTCACCTAAGTTATAGCACTATATCTTGTTACTTGGCTCTAAGCATACTTTTAATTGTTACCACTGGTTATTTCCATTATAAGTTTACTTTAACTGTACTGACGGTATCTACTCAACTATGTCATACCATTTGTCATATACTTTTACTTATAGCCATTAAGCATATTTTTTGTTCTGCAGAATTTTGCCATATTTTGTTATTTGGCTGTAAGCATACTCTTAATAACTGTTACCACTGATCATTCCCATTATACATTTGCTTTAACTGTTTTACTATATCTACTTATCTATGTTATAGCATTTGTTATATACTTTTACTTATAGCCATTAAACATATGTTGTGTTACTGCAGAATTCTACATCTTTATAACCTACTATTTTAATAAATAAGTCCCTCCATACTGTCTTGCGTTTTTTCTCCCCGAACAGAAAATGGGTTGACATTTAGGGGGTAATTTAAGGTAGGTTACATGGAGTTAATTAAGTAGTATTTTTTTTACAGAATGTGGAATGACCTTCCCAATCATGTTAAAGGCTGTACCTCTCTCAACCAGTTCAAGAGAAAAACTAAGTACTACTTAGTAAACTCCATGTAACCTACCTTACCCCTTAAATGTCAACCCGTATATGTCTTGCTATTTTCAAACAATACTGTTTGTTGACCAACTTGTATAATTGCTGATTTTTGCCATTTCCCTCCTTATTTATTCCATTTTCAGCACAATTTATACTTTAATCTCAATTAGTATAAAGTTTTAGTCTAAGTGTTTTTTTTCCCACACCTTGCCCGAAACGCTGTGCGTATTAGTGGCTAAATTTAGGTACAATACAACAATACAATACAATTTTATTTAGGTAAGGTACATACATACAATAAATTTTTACAAGGATTGGTTGACTTATAGGTAGAGCTAGTACATACAATGCCTAAAGCCACTATTACGCAAAGCGTTTCGGGCATGATACACTTAAATGACAAGCTTAATACTAATTTTATACATATTATACATATTTTATATATTATTATTTATTATTTTATTTTATATTATTTTATATATTTTATTTATATTATACATATTTTATACATATATAGTACATATTATACTAGGTATAATATGTACTAGCTCTATCTATAAATCCAACAGTATGTTTGTAACTCATCATCTATGTATTTACTTTTATCTGAATAAACAATTGAATTTTTATTTTTTAAATCTACACTGTGCAATCTTTCTTTCAGAAAAATAAATTTTCTCCCCTGATTCCATGTATTCTATGTATGACACAAAACCACAAGTTGACATTGAATGTGAATTCACAATGAGACAAATAAGAAGCAAAATCAGAAACATTCAGGCACAGGCAGGAGTGGAGAGGAGAGATATAATGTATGAGAGAAGTTAAACCATGCAACACTACATGTATGTGAGTCAAAACACCCATTTCACTTATGGTAAAAGGAGAAATGCTTGGAGTGACTCAGTGTACATGCGGCTCAGGCTTGGGTACAAATATTACTGGGAATATGGGATAGGTGTTCATGATAATGACACGAAGTGTAAACTATGTGGTATGTTAAGGTCTCACACCCTTGCCCATTATGTTCTTGATTGTCCGTTGATTAATGTATATAGAAACACTGAGATAAGGACTGTTCCTGAACAAATAGCCTGGATGTGTCACAACGGAAAGGTTGATGATATTCTTGAGAGATATAAGAATTTTGCACCAAGACTGTAATTTTTTGTTGAATTATCTGCATGTCTCTTGCAAATTGTCTATACAGTATACCTAGGTCATAAAAGTATTTGTGTGTACGTCTGATACCATACTACTTGTGAAGGAGGAAATGTATATGTTTATCTCTCAGAATGTTTGGTAATATGTTTATTGTTTGTGATGTGTGTATATGTATGTATTAACACGATGTACTGAACGGGGTGAGAATAGCTTGAGCTACCTCATCCCTTTGTGTGTATTTTACATCAATAAACTTATTTCAATATCAATTTCAATTCAGTCCTGTGAGATGTAAATATTAGATGAACTTATAGCTAGTTTTTTTTATCTACACTGTGTAATCTTTCATATACAATAGGGTATCAGCACATTGCTGTGTATACTAATTAAGTTTGTTAAATAAAAAAAGTGTCTGCGGATGGAACGACGGACATACGGTGCTGTAGCTGCCTCTAACCCACTACAATAACAACAACAAACATTAGTTCAGATCGACAGAAGATGCAGTCGGACGAGGATCCCACGATCGTCGTCGCCCCTAAATCAACACAACAACAGTCGGACGAGGAGATGTGAGCTTTTATTGACAAACTCTTCATGCAAACTGCACCTACTATCAAGAAGAAGAAGAAGAAGAGCTTTTATTGTTCCTGATAAAGACTAGTGATTATGTTGCAGGCATTTTGCATAGCCAGCAAGCGCGGAGAAGTTCTCTTTGCATCATTATGTATCCTTTTTTGTGGCTGTATTCTCTAGAAGAGAGAGCGTTACTGTAAGGAGAAACTTGTGTGTTGTGTTGGAGTTGGACTGTGTACCACTTGATACCAAATTTTATCTTATTTTCGTTAGGTAGGATAAGGTTCGTTTTGTTTCGCTTTGATTTGTTTCAATTCAGTAAGGTTAGGTTTGTTTAAAGATGTAGACTGGTCAAACACTTCTCATGTCTCACACCTTACTCACTTCAGCTGGTAGTGAACATTGTTGCAGTTTAAAATCCTGCTTGATAAAATCTTCAGGAAAAGTGGGGGGTACAAAGCTCGAGGCTTTGGCAAGCCTCTGGCTTCCTATTCCTATTGAAGCCACTAGAGAGATGATGGTCGCCAGGTAAAGTTTGGTAAATTAACCTGTAGCATAGTAACTAACACTCATCTGGTAGTGAACCCTTAATCTGTAGCACAATAGCCACCATTTCAGCTGTAGTCTCCTGCTTCAACCTTCATGATAAGTGGACACTTGCTCTGCCTTGGAACTGCCAAAACACGTGATGCACTGGGTGCCTGTCCTGGTCGATGGCAGATATAGAATGCTCCAAATCACATGTGCATTTCTATGGGCCATTGCCCCTCACGCTTCTGTGAGGGGGGAGCCAGGTTCTGGCTCGTGGTCCCCGGAAGGCCTAGAACTCCACCCACGTCGATTGATGCAAAATATTTCGGGTATCCATATCAGCCTGGATAGCTCCGGCGAGCCTCCGGGAATCACCCAGAAACTGGCCTTTCATTACATTCAACGCTGGTTTTTTGGGTGTTAAAACTATAAATAACTATAGATTATGCATCATGATGGTGAATATACAAAAATTTATGAACATTTCAACATTCCGCATTCATTTTTCAACATAATTTAAAATGAAAGAAAAAGAAAATGTATGCACATGATTGGTCTTTATTACTGTAAAAAGAAACCAGACGACTTTAGGGCCTTGGTAGTACAGTAGGATTTGTTCTCGACTCACATTCGAGAATTCTGGGTTTGAATCCCGGGAGGGACAGAAATGGTTGGGCATGTTTCCTGTCACCTGATTCCTGTTTACTTAGCGGTAAACAGGTACCCAGGAGTTAGTTTATTGTGGGGCTGCATCCTGGGGAGGGTCAGTGGTCAAACAATATAAGCCTAACATGTACTGTATATACAGTATACACTGGCTGCTTGTCCCCGACACAGTGAATTATTATTTAAACACTTTTCAGTCATATAATTTGCAAAGAATTGTTAAAATATGTACAAACAGAACAATAATTATCTTGAGTGGTGGGAAAATATTCAAGCATGGCATAATATTCTTTTGTTTGGTAATGTATGGTAATGAATATCCAATGGAGGATGACCTAGATTGACTGCCTCCTCGAGCAGAACATCCATCACAGAATGATAACAAAAACATATCAGAAACATCCAAAATCAGAGCACAAATCGCCAAGAAAATTGAAGAAGGAAATACAGCAGGTGCCATTCGAGTTACTAATGATGAGAAAATTACTACTAGAAACTTGGTCATAGCACAAGCCCCACTAAGCAATCACTCCACAGGGTTCAGTTCTTGCACCAGTGATGTTTATTGTCTACATAAATGATCTACCAGTTGGTATACAGAATTATATGAACATGTTTGCTGATGATGCTAAGATAATAGGAAGGATAAGAAACTTAGATGATTGTCATGCCCTTCAAGAAGACCTGGACAAAATAAGTACATGGAGCGCCACTTGGCAAATGGAATTTAATGTTAATAAATGCCATGTTATGGAATGTGGAATAGGAGAACATAGACCCACACAACCTATATATTATGTGAGAAATATTTAAAGAATTCTGATAAAGAAAGAGATCTAGGGGTGGTTCTAGATAGAAAACTATCACCTGAGGACCACATAAAGAATATTGTGCGAGGAGCCTATGCCACGCTTTCTAACTTCAGAATTGCTTTTAAATACATGGATGGCGATATACTAAAGAAATTGTTCACGACTTTTGTTAGGCCAAAGCTAGAATATGCAGCAGTTGTGTGGTGCCCATATCTTAAGAAGCACATCAACAAACTGGAAAAGGTGCAAAGACATGCTACTAAGTGGCTCCCAGAACTGAAGGGCAAGAGCTACGAGGAGATGTTAGAGGCATTAAATATGCCAAAACTAGAAGACAGAAGAAAAAGAGGTGATATGATCACTACATACAAAATAGTAACAGGAATTGATAAAATCGGTAGGGAAGATTTCTTGAGACCTGGAACGTTAAGAACAAGAGGTCATAGATATAAACTAGCTAAACACAGATGCCGAAGAAATATAAGAAAATTCACTTTCGCAAACAGAGTGGTAGACGGTTGGAACAAGTTAGGGGAGAAGGTGGTGGAGGCCAAGACCGTCAGTAGTTTCAAAGCGTTATATGACAAAGAGTGCTGGGAAGATGGGACACCACGAGCGTAGCTCTCATCCTGTAACTACACTTAGGTAATTACACTTAGGTAATTACCCACCAAGAGCCCCATGAGCCAACAATATCATACTGCCAGCAGCTAAAACATAATCAGACCCACAAACTGTTTGTGAATCTAAGGTCAAGAATGCAGCTTTTTCTTTTCCATCTGGGTCAGCAGGCGGCATTACAGAATTAAAATCTCAACACATCGAGCAAAAGCTAAATCCTGATCTTGGTGATGCTGCACGAGATCTTCTTGTAGAATTCGCAAGGTTTGTCAGTATGTACCTGGCTGGTGGTATACCTGAGGTCATCAGGCCCCTCTTTCTGGGGGGAGCTTCGTTCACTCCCTGAAGCTATCATTCACTGATCAGTGCCATACAATCGGGTGTCAGCAATCACAGAGTTCTATTGGCTTACCAGGGGCCCATGAGCCCCCCTCAGAGAGATGCAGGGAGTGACCTACGAAACTTTGCAATTAAAGTTTAATCATACTTGCCACTGCGAGAGAAGCACTCAGAAAGTAAGGCAAACCAAAACAAAGAACAGTGTGTCCTCACTAGAACGAACTCTATGGGGTGAGGCCGAGTTATTCCATTGATTTGTTCCGTTCATTCTACCCGTCAGCCCCAGGCTATCCCTCACCTCCATGTAATTCCATATAAAAATCATAACTACTGTATGTGACTATTATTGGTGGCTGCAAATATGACGTAATGGTCTGAATTTCCATAAGCCAACTGTATCAGTCTTGATATAAATATTCAGAAAAATCCATTTATTATGAATTCTTCATTTTTGCTATGGCATTTTCTAGAACAATCACTTCCAAACAATTTGGTATAAAAATGCTACATACTGTTGTGACGTGACTCAGTAGTGCGGCTATACTGAGCAGATGGGATGTAGCATGCCTTTCGCAGTAAGGAAAAAAAAATCCTGCATTGGTCTTTGCAGTGTGAAAATTGCTCAGGAGTGAAGGAATACTCAGACAAAAATTTAAGACAATTTACTCTAATATCAAAATGAACAAATTACTGTACACGAAAAATACCCAAAACCCCGGGTATATAAGGAAGGCAGGAATAAGGAAGAGGCAGTTTGTGGCACCTGACAGCTGAATGGACAGCACTTCGGATTCGTAGTCCTGAGGTTCCGGGTTCGATCCCCGGTGGAGGCGGAGACATATGGGCAAAATGTGTCTTTCACCCTGATGCCCCTATTACCTAGCAGTAAATAGGTACCTGGGACTGCTTCCTGGGGGGTGTGTAACAAAAAGGACTCCTGATCGAGGACTGGGCCACGGGGACGCTAAGCTCCAAAATCATCTCAAGATAACCCCTGATTGAACACACTTGGCTAACACAAGAGAAATAATAATAATAACATGTGAATAAACTTACTTTAACACAAAAATAAGGGTAACACTGAAAGTATTGTCATAAAAACACCTAAAACCTGCACATGAAGAAAATGTTAAGGCAAAAATGTTAAAGCATGTGACTTGCAGAGGCATTAGTGTTGATTCCCTGAACACCTGATGAGAGAGACTCCTGAGGTGACTGAGGTCATGGATATAGCCATGTTTGTGACATCACATCCTTTGTCACTGAGGCTTGGAATGAGGAGCCGGTGGTGTAACAGGAGGTTACCTAGACGTAGCAAGGAACTGGCAGGTCTTGCAGCTGTACATCTGCCTGGGGCTCTCGGGCTGTGTGGAGGGTGTACTGGTGGTGGGTCCAGACATTTGTCTGGTTGATACCTGGTTGATGGGGTTCTGGGAGGTCTTCTACTCCCCAAGCCCGGCCCGAGGCCAGGCTCGACTTGTGAGAGTTTGGTCCACCAGGCTGTTGCTTGGAGTCTGGGTTGAACTCAATACCGGTCGTAATATGTGGTATGCAGGATGATGAATAACGAAGGTAATAAGGAAGAGACAGTTTTCTCTGCTATGCTGGGGAATTATGTGACAGCTCCTCCACAAAGCCTCATTCTATTGCCTGAAATGTTGATACGAGAGGAATGGTGGAAGTTAGAGGTTCATGAACATGGTGTAACGTACGATTATGTTATGTTGTTGGGTAGATTAGACACACACAGTGTTTATTGAGTTTCATATTTATTTAGTAGTCTTGATTACAGTAGTCGGTTGTTGGCAGTGTCGTAGACGTTGAGACAGAGTTTGTAACAGAGCAGAGAGCTGAGTGAGGCCGGAGTCGTGGAGCTCTATGCAAGAAAGCGTGGGGGCACATTGGGGAATTATAAGTGTCTAAACTCGATGGGGAGCGAGAGCATTGTAGCTCGATGCGGTTGTAATCTGCTGTCTGCTCTGTGTCGAAGCTGTAGTGTCTTGAGGTCGGTTGGAACTGTACACGCCGAGTGCTACATTCTTGAGGTTGAAGAGGTGTGGCAAATCCAAAGCGTCTGTACAGAAGTTAGCTGAACCACTTTGGAAATTGTACCATTGGCTATTCGATTGATCGATTGATTGATAAAGATTAAGCCACCCAAGAGGTGGCACGGGCATGAATA